TTAAACGAAATAGGGTGAATACATCTCATATTACTGATTTACTGGTAGTCTCGAAACTCTACTTAAATACAATTATTAGTTGTCAATACTATGGGATGCTTGTAGCTCGAGTCCTTTTAGCCCTTTTGGTACTCTAGGCTTAGTTTCCCGCCTCTTGGATTTATTTGTATTCGGTCTATATTGTTTTTATAAGGTTGGAGTGTATCATTCAGCATAGCAACAAGTATCAACCTAAGTCCACTAATGATCAAAGCGCTAGAGTGTTCTCTCTTGGAAAATCATGCGCGCAAAGCATAAGTTCGATTTCTGCTCGAAAAGCTCACGACACCTTGACAAGCTTAAAACTACACTCCTCTGATTGAGAAAACAATCTCTTGGAAACAAAAGGAATGGAAACGTCAAGTCTTCTTATTGACTCGCCCCCAGCTTTTTAGATGGTGGTAAGACGCTTTTCTGGATTACTCCAGAGATTTGTAGGCTGCATTCCCGATCTCGTGGGTGTTACATTCGCTCCTGCTCTTTTTTACAGTCACAACAATCGCGCTGGCGAGGGAGAGCCTCAAATTAGGACCCATTATTAGTTAATAATAGTGTTAATGATTATTTAATATAGTTAATTATATAATTATATAATAATAATAATAATTATATATATAATTAATTATATAATTATAGTTAATGATGCTCTGAGGTTTGTCCTTCACCCCTACCATTTTTTTATTTGTCCTCTTGCAGTAGTATTTATCTCGTCGCTCAGATGCTTTTTATTAACAAGATTTAATCTCGACAACGCATAGCTCCAGAGGATGATAAGGCCGTCAGTATTTACATCGGACAGTTATGCCTCTGAAAGCATACACCACAAAGCCAAGATGAGAGGCGAATTTGTGCTTTAGCTCGAACCTCATAAAAATGAATTCGGGTTCAACCCGCAAAAGCAAGGACGGATCCGCAAGTCTAGAAGAAGAATAGAGAACCTAAAGCTTTGGCCACAGTCTTAGCATTCACTGATTTCGCCCTTAAGGACGAGTCTGCAATGATCCACACCATCATAACGAGAAGTCCTTAGGTTATAATGTTGCCGAGCTCAATTGTCTGTCTGAGGTCTAAATTCGCTAATCCCTACCGCTTCATAGGAGACAACATTTGACGCTATGTAAGAAGCGCGTAAAAATCGCTAGTCGTTTACATCATAAGTGAGCCCGATCAGCTCAGAACAGGTCAGCTGTATACTATTTCAAGGAAATTCCTGAAGAAAAATTCATCTCCTGGTTAGCGTGCGCGAAATGCTTCCATATAAGGGTGTTGTGTAGACAAATCGATATCTTAACTTGTTCTTGCGTGGATGTTTGCAAACCTTCTAAACGCCATCCTGATCAGGGCAAATGCTCATCCAACTAGCTGGCCAATCTCAGTCTCTAGCACAAGCTGTTGTGATGCCGACCCTGTTGACTTTGGCACGGCCCTGCCAGTTGATGTGGCAAAGGAGCAAATCGCGAGGCCGGCTTTAGGTGATTTAGAAGGCCTGGTTGTGTGCTGTTTCGCCATTTGCCTCTCCAGCCATACCACACCGTCCTTCCATTCATAGGCACGTATCTGAGAGAGACGGGAAGAGTGGAAAAGGAATGATGGGCTACTTCTTCCCCGAGCCAAGCTTTGTGTCCATCGTCTTGTCGCTACATCCTCATCCGTCTAGCCTATTTGTATGGTCAATTCACTCTCTGCATTATTCGTAGTCCTGCCGTTATTCACCTTCATTCCCCGGCCCACAAGAATGTCTGGGTTTGGGTCTAGACAGCAGGAACAGAGCAAAAGTTCGATCAACGCGGGCGATTAGGCCTGGGTGCCTCCAGCAAACACCGCCGATTGGTGCATTTGCCTGGCCTTCCCAATCGATCGGCACACTGGGCTCAGACTGGGTCGCTTCACCGTTCAGTTGGCCAAAACAAACAGCCAGCCATGCATCCCTACTTCGCATTCTTGTCCCTTTGCGTCTACATAGCTGCGTGCGTGTCAGGTGCCAGCTGCCTACTCTTAATTTCCGATAGAATAAACAAATTCAACGTCCCCACACTTTTAGGAAGTTATAATTCCACAAAAGTGATAAACGTCAAAGTATGTTTAGTACTTTGCTTCTAGGCCAGCAGTAGCCTGAGTAGTGCATTTTATAATAAAAGCTGAATTCATCCAATTAGTTGTTTTCACCCCATTTTGTTAAAGGGGATGAAGGACTGGTAGTTAAATTTTCCCACAATGATATGAGTAGAGCTGATGTTTTCCATTGAATTTCACATAACCTTGCTTTCTCAAAAGGTATTCTCATTCAGGATGGACTGCAGTTTCGACCTCGCATAGGTATTATCAACACCCAAAGAGGGAGCCGAACCGTGATAGTGCAGAATGTGAGCTTGACACGTTAACCACTCGACCAAAATGTCACGAGTGCACTTGGGCCAGAAGGCAGATGTGAATTTCAAGAAAGGCGAGGCCTTTTCCCATATCACATTCGATGAAGCAAACGTATTTTTGCTATAACAATCGACTACGTCACTTATTTTTCGTATGTAAATAGAGTTTCGAGAATACCAGTAAATCAGTAATATGAGATATATTGTTGGGGGCACTTTCATTTCGTATGAAAGTGCATGAAGAAGATATTCGTAGATCGATCTCACCAGGAGAGGACAGATGAATCCCGTTGTACTGCAGTCGTTTGGCTTTTGTACAACGTTCAGGTTGACGTAGTCTACGAGACCTCCTCCGTCGTTTCGGATGAAAACAGGCTGAGCTTTCGTTCATCATATGATGCACATCATCAGAGCTGGGTCTCATTCCTGTAAAAGTCCCACGTTAACACTATGGCAAGAAAAATGAGACAGAAACGAGAAGGGACGTCTCGTGGACTGCGTCAACTTAAACGTTTTATAAAAGCCAGAACAGCTGCAGTACAACGAGATTCATCCGTCCTCTTCTGGTGAGATCGACCAACGAATCTCTTCTTTATGTACTTTCATACAAAATGAAAGTCTCCAACAATACATCTCATATTACTGATTTACTGGTATTCTCGAAACTCTACTCTAATACGAAAAATAAGTAACAGATTCGATTGTTATAGCAAAAATACGTTTACTTCATCGACACTCCCAACAAAGAATGTGATATGGGAAAAGGCTGGCCTTCCTTGAAATTCACATCTGCCCTGTGACCCAAGGGCACTCGTGGCAAAGTGGCCGAGTGGTTAACGTGGCAAGCTCACATGCTGCCTTTTCACGGTTCGACTCCCGCTGGCGGTCCTATGCAACCTATGCGAGGTCGAAACTGCAGTCCACTCTGGATAAGAACAATTTTTGGGAGAGCAAGGCTATGTGAAATTCAATGGAAACGTCAGATTTACTTATATTAGTGTGGAAAAATTCTACTACCAGTCCTTCATCACCTTAAACGAAATAGGGTGAATACATCTCATATTACTGATATACTGGTAGTCTCGAAACTATACTTTCACGCAAAAAGAATGGAGGAACACTTCCTGGAAGAGGCAATACTAACCCTATATTATTGGTTAGATATATGCATGATCATTTTGTCATCTGACCTCAGGAAAGAAAAGTTTAGATAGTTTCCTACTTTCACTCAAATGGGGTGAAAAGGATATTAGGTTCACGCTTAGAATGAAAGAAAATAAGTCCTTATCCTTTATGGATGTTCTCATCATGAGAGAAGAGGGTAAGTATAGGAAGCCAACATATGTTGGCTCTTTACTTAATTTTCTTTCTAACCATAATTACAAGACTAAGTTTTGAATTTAGAAGTATGAGGCCAGCGAATAGTAAACATTTGGCTAAAGAGTTGGAACGACTGACAAATTGATTCCTGGAAAATAATTATCCTTTGGGGCTTATTCAGAATAATATCTCTTTACTTAGGCATACATTTTCAGATAGAGACCTTTTACTCAAAGATAGACAAGCTGAGACCATTTCTCATGTCCTAATTTTATCGTCATGCTTTCTCTCAAAGAAGATAGGCGAATTGGTAAAGAAGTGGAGCATAAAAACAGTGTTCAAAGAAACCCTCACACTTTCTTTTGGTATGCGATCTTTTAGAGAGAAATATGCCCCATTATCGAGATCCGGCTGCTACAAGATTGTCTGCTCATGTGGTTGATGTTATGTTAGTGAGACATGCCGACCTATTCAACATAGATTGGAGGAACACAAAAATGCTTGTCAAGGAAGCTGGGTCCATGGGTCAGAAGTTTCAGAGCCCATGGTAGAAACTAGACATGTGATAAAATGATCTCAAACTCGTAGGTTTGCTGATTATAGTACGTCTGTGGTTAAAAGAAAGATAAGAGGTGATATTGAAACTGATAGATTAGGAAATACATTGAATGTGAGGAACGGTGGTAGAAAATTGAATAGGAACTACTTATGCTTGATTGATTGATTGAAAGAGAGAGAGGGTGTTGAACCGCCATATAAAAGAAGGTGACCAGAATAATGATAATTAACAAAACCATTCTATATCGATCTATATTTTTAAATTCTTTTTTGATTAAATAAGACTATATGAAAGGTAGGATAGAGCCAGATAGTATTCTTGTCTTAGTGTTAACTTGAGAAATTTACAAGAATGAGTCCAAGCTCTGATGATGCCCATCATATGATGGACGAAAGCTCAGCTCGTTTTCACTCGAAACGAGGGAGAAAGTCTCATGAACTGCATCAATCTCATCCTAAATGCAAGTCCAAGCAATAGACTTCAGGATCCCAATGAATTTCACTTAGCCTTGTTTCCCCAAAGGTGTTATCATCCCGAATTGACTGGACTGCAGTTTAGCCCTCACCTCACCATCTCTCACAACACCCCCACCTGGATTCGATACCTGGTCGTGGGTATACCAGCGACGTTACCACTCCACTACACACTGATATGAGTAGAGCTGATGTTTTCCATTAAATTTCACATAGCCTTGCTTTCCAAAATGTTGTTCTCATCCAGGGCGGAAAACATCATTTTTACTCATATCATTGTGGAAAAATTCAACTACCAGTCCTTCATCAACTTAAACGAAATAGGGTGAA